GATATCAACAGTCTCGTTTGAAGTCATCATTTTGCAAGTTTTATGCTCGATACAATGACCTTGTCAGCAAATACAACCTATAATGAAGTCAAATGCTGACTGACATTTTTTATACTTATTGTCAGGCCATTATTTACACGCTGAAATGTCTATGGATTTACCCGTTATTTCCCGATCATGACAAGGAGCACACGGCAGGTGTGACCGGTGGGCAGGGGATGCTCACTCCTCCATGGCACCTGATCCCACCTCTGATTTTTTTGGAGGTTCGTGTTTGCTCTGCTTCCGATTTATATTGTTTTAATGGAATTTGAGCTTGAATACTGTTCGTTATTTCCAAATTTCATATTTAGGAATATACATGTATATACCATAGAAATCATTGCAGACGAGAATACCTACCTAATACGAGTAACACAGAGTGAATAATTCTTGTCCTCGAGGAAAGTGTGCTATACTGACGTATAGTTCCGCTTGACTGTGTTTTAGATACAATTGAACTTGAAATATGCTTTCTCTTAATGTTTTTTATTTCAAGAATGAACATGCATAAATGATAGATAATTGAAAGAAAATATACAAACCCCTATAAAAAATAAAATTTAAATAAAAAATAAAAATCTTTGAAAAGCCGAGAATCAGTGTTGCACCAGGTAGATTCGAACCATGACTCTAAAAAATGCACCGGCGGTGCAAATCGTCAAAACATATAAACAAAGAAAATTGTGATATTTCTATCTCTTAACATATAATTCTTTTAATTGTAACAAAAATTTCAGATGTAGAATTCTTATCATCAATAAATTAAAATTTTCTCACTAAAAATATATTTTGAAGAATGATAATGGAAAGATAACTCTTGTAGATGGATGCATTTTATTTTACAAGCACAGGAAACAATGTGATATTCTTATTTAAAAAGCAACGCTTGATCATGTTTTCTAATGCGAATTAGATAGGTATGATAGCAAATATTATTTTTATATATACCTTATATTTTTAATTTTATTGTGAGATAGAGAATTAATGATCTTTCTATTTACCATATCAAATTTTCTTCATATCATGATTAGACATATTATTAATTCCTGAAAAAGTAAGCAACGCTTCATACTTCAAACTTTTTTTTTCATTTGAATCTGAAGCAATTGTTGTTGATGAAAATCAATTTTGGGAATTTAAAAAAAAAGGTGAAATTTGGAGCAGAGGGATATTTCACCTTAAGGGAGAAAATACAGTTTTGGAGGTTGAGTTTAGAGTTGCAAATAATAAATTTTATGTTCAAAATGCCAATTTGAAAAAAATAGACATATTTACGGTAGAAAAAAAAACTAATAAACATTGAAATAATGTGACTTTTTGGGGGAAATTGTTCTATCCTATAGGTCAATTCTTTTGAATTTTGATTACATCATTTAGATGAAAATCTGAGGAAGACAACTCCGTTGGAAGTAGCCCGGATCAGGGGGATATCTTTGATTAGCTTTTTAACCGCGGGAATACTCTACAATTATTTGCATAATTCTTATTGTAATCTGCTCTATGCAATAAACATACACTATTATTAGTGTGGCTAGGAGTTTCGGGTCCTAATAAATCTCCTACAAATCTGGTTGACTGATGTCGCTAATTTTCATAATCGTTTAATTCGAATTTCAATACAAGTGGCAGTGAGCGCTGAGGAAAGGCTGAAAGAAGGTATCATCTGAAATCAACAGTGATGCATTACTGTGGAATCAAGTTTTCGTGGAATTCGTGGATAACTTTCATCTACGAATTATAATCCTCTACGACTCAATAAACCATGGATACAAAGTCATATTTCCTTTTTTAGGTATGAGAGTACACGATAAAAATGTCCCCACGAATCTGTTAAATTTAAGCAATCCACGAAGACTGGCCCCCACAAATTTTAATGATCCAAAGTAAATTGATTTGTCAAAATGATGGGGACTCATTAACACTAGTATCACACTTAAACCATAACTTTTCAATTATTCATTAATGTTAGCATAAAAATCTAGCAATCTTTCATCTAATACTTGGACCAGTCGTGGTAGCGTAGAGGTTGGACATTAGCTTCGTGATCGGACTGGGTTCGAGTCTCCGCGTCAAATCTAACTCGTTTAATTTAGAAAGTGACTGTTCTTTCGATAAGCGCCCGGCTTAAGAAGTAGGGGTCTTTGGCTGAGATCTTAAAAACCGATGTCCTGCGTCACGGTAGGCGTTGGCATGATAAAAAATAAAATATGGAGATAACGAACAGCAATCAAGCTCAAAAGTCCATTAGAACGATACAAATTATGAGCAGAGGAAACACGGACCTCTAAAATTATCGTGGGATCAAGTGCCATGAAGGAGTAAGCACCCTCCGTCGACCGGTCAAATCCGCCGTGTGCTTTTTGTCATGATCAGGTAAACGGAAAAATCCGTACAGACAATTCAGTGTGTAAATAATGGTCTAACAATTAGTATGAAAAAGTTAAGTTAGCATTCGAATTAATGAAAGATTGTATTTGCTGACAAGGTCATTGTATCGTCCATAGAATTTGCGAAATGTTGACTTTAAACGGGACTGTTGATATCCTTGTTCCATCAGCTTGTTTGTCAATAGCTTGCCTCATTTTAGAAATTGTTCGTACGTAGAGTATGCTCTTGCGTATCGGATCAAATGGGAGACATAAACTCCATATGCAGGTAATAATGGTATATTGTTACATAAGTAAGGGAACTTGACGATAGAAAAAGTATTCATGTTTATCCTAAAGTTTTCTTGTTAGGCAATCATTGATGTCTTTTTCTAGTATAATATGCAAATATGAAACAGAAGTTTCATACTCTGTGTATCTTTTATTTCGAGTTCAAAGGGATATATCGAATCAACAAAGGAATGAAAATGAATATTGTTTAATGATAAAACGTCTTCAATATATCTAAATGTTGAATTAACTACAGCAAGAGACGTCTTCTTTTCAAGTTGAAGTTTCTGATTAAATTCTGCTTCATATGAATACAAAAATAGGTTTGCTTATAAGGGGCGCGATCATTACCCATGGGAATTCCGACAAATTGTTAGAAGTTTTGATTTCCAAGAACTACATAGATAAATGTCAATTAAAACTCAAGTATAAAATTTTATAATATCAGTTCCGGAATATTTGTGTTCACAATCATGCAGAACATGTTTTTAACAGAATAGTTTTGCAAATGACCAATGACAAGGAAAGTTAATTTACGAGTTCCAAGCCAAAAAAGCAGCTGAAAAGGCAGTCAATACAATTAATTTGACGTCATAGTAAGGTATATTACGTATAAGCTTTAGAGATAACAATTTTCTTATATTTATATTCAAAAAATTATTATTTCAATTGTAATAAATGATTGGAAACAAGCGAAACATAGATAACATAATATAATAATTAAACTAACTCTTGTAATTTTTTGGATGGTATAAATAACGAAATATTGGTCACGGGGGTGACCGATAAAGTAAGGTTTCATACGAGAGTGTTAAATGTTTATTTCTGTTAAAATTTGGGAACCATCTTATTACTTCCAAGAATACGTTAGCATTTAAAATCTATAAAGCAACAGTTGAAACAAACTTTTGGACTAAATATACTTTTTAATTTTCAACAAGTTAGGATTTTCATTCATTACTATAAAAAAACTTCAATTTTAAAATCACTTCTGAGAAGCATAAAGCAAAGAATATCAATCAATGCTTACAAGAGGAATATGCAAAGATTCATAATTCCCCAAAACTAAAATTTTACCAAATTGTTTTTGATAATTTTAAACGCTGTGGATACACAGATATATTAAAAAAGAGAACAGAGAGATCAATTATTAGCAGGTTGAGACTTACTGCATATTATCTTGCCATAGAAAAAGGGAGACATTTGTCTATACCCACAGATAAAATTTTTTGTAATATTTGCAACAGAGGAGAGATTGAAGTTGAATTTAATTTTCTATTAGCTCCCAAAAATACAATAATCATAGGTTAACTTTTTAAAGGAACTTGTTGAATTTTTTTCAAGGGAAAATATCAAATATATGTCTTATACTAAAAAAGTTAAGCTTTGCTTTGATAGCCAATGCACTGAAATACTGAAAATAACACACTCATTTATTTAAAAATGTCATATATCTAGAAATGATTGTATTACATAATTATTGTACATATAATTGTATGATCTATGCATATCTTCACATTCTGGAATATTGTTTAAATTTATGAACAATTGACGATTCTTGTATGTTGTGCCTTTGACAATTATTGTAATTGTGCTTGCGCCAATAAATATTGTATTGTATTATGACAGTAGGATTCTAGCAGCACTTTTCATGACCAGAGATGTTTTCACATAATCAGATGAACAAAATAAATAATCTCCGGAGTAGTTTTGAACTTTTCAGCTTTCAATAAGGCACATTTTTCTAATAATAGACGTCACATGATATCGTCGCAGAGGAGTGTTCTTTTTAGTCTAAGACTCATTGACATCTATACAATAGATAAGTAAATGTTTTATCCTGGCTTTTCTGATTTATGAATATTACATTTTACAAATAAGTGTAAAGCCGAATAATGATCTGGGTGCTGAATTCATATACCTGCGTGTTTTCAAAAACGATTACGAATCAGTCAAATAAGCGATGTCTGGTTAGCACTTTGTCAACGCACAAATAATCCATAAAAATTTTAAAACTATTAAACTCACTTTATTTAGCAGAAAATTCAAACGCAAAGACAAAAAAAGAAAGATATACAGTAGAACACTTTTATTACGAAGTACCAGGGACAGATGATTTTGCTTCGCCATAAGCGAAATTCGTTATATCTGTTAGGTTTACAATATATATGAAAGTCATGGGGATTGAAAATTACTTCGCTGTAAGCGTCAATTCATTATACGTGTGTTCGCTATAAGCTTGTTCCAAAGTACCTTTTAACATTCAAAGAACAAGAATTCTACCAAGTGATTCATTTATTTTTAGGATTTGAGCATCATCAAATCAAAATAATAGATACTGACTGATCCTAAAACACACGTAAAAGAAAAAAAGAAAATTTTATCCATTAATACCATACTATTTGCCCATGTTCTTTTCAATGGTTTTGAATTTTCTGCAGGGGACATTTTGTTTTCGTCACCAGAATTTGGTCTATCAATAGTTTTGTCAACGCCAACTTTTCCAGCAAAACAGGGCAGATTGTGGTCACCGTAATAAAAGAAGAGCCTTGTTTGAACAATGACTAATACCATGATAACAACACTAAGAACCATCAGTATTTCTATGTATACCGCCATGTGAACGTTGTCTTTAGCAGGGAGAGAAGATCCTATGGCGGAAAGATAAATCGAATACGCCAGAAATGTGGTGATCGCAAAAGAAATTTTCTCACCAGATTCTACAGGAATGAGAAAGACAAACACATTCATTACAGAGAGCAAACACAGTGGCAACAACACTGTCAATACCACAAAAAATGGTTTTCTTTGTAGAGTAAAGCTCGCAATCAGTCCAGTCTTTCCGTAGGGCATACTGGAAACTCTGCCGGCGACAACATCCCACTCGGTTGTTCCTCGTACCTGGAGGTCGCTAGAAACCGCGTTGATTATGATGTCATCGGGAGGGTATCCGAGAACAGAGAAAATGAAATCACAATTTTGTGTATCGAAAGGATACTTTTTTAAATTCAACTCACACACTACTGAATATAAACCGCCAGGAAACCACACTATATCACCGGAAGAAGAAACGCGAAAAATCTTGTATGGATTCTCGAATGTCTCAAAATCTCCGACAGGATTACCCAAAGATATCGTTGGCCACCATATGTCATTTGTTTTCAACTCTATGCTACTTATATTTGAATACTGTTGTTTGTCCCAGACAAGAAATTCATCATTCCAAAGAATCATTAAGCTACCTAGAAGAGTAACAGTTTCCTCCTTTTCATTGATATCATTGAAGCGGAGGACGAAAAAACTAGCGTTAATGACGACTGGATCAATTTGATTTTTCCGGGGTCGTAAGTAAGGATCATAGTTCCGCAGTAAAGCCTTTCTTAATGACGTCACATTTTCTGCTGCTGTCACTTTATCGTTTCCCAAACATCCTTTTACCAAGAAATTTAAAAAAGCACAAAGGAAGAGCTTTGCTCTGTATGGCATCTTGACTGTATGCAACAGGACCAAAAAGAATATTCTCTACATTTAGTTTGATCGATATCTTTAATTTGATCGATATACTCGGCTACCCTTAATTTGTTGTTAACTGCAGACTATTTTTCAACTAGCAATATAGATTTGAAACATTTCATTATGAACCTTAAAGTAGTGTTATGGAAACATGGGTTAGTACATTTGTAAAAACAGTGATCGATGTTTACACTTGCGACTAGATAGCGTGGGTTTTAAAAAGGTTCCGATTTGTCTGCAAATAGTTAAAATGACATCGTGTAATGTAGGAAACACATCCATTAACTCCAAAGCAAATGGTCAGTTATTAGCTCTTTATTCGTAAATTTCTAAAGAAGAGGGCCATAGGCCATAACGCTCACATGATTCAAATTGGCCATGCTGTTCTTCAGAAAATTAAAACAAATTTCTTCATTTATCTCATAAAAATTTTAAATCCATATAACCTTGCCTCAAGGGATAATGATTAAATTGAACTTGAAACTACGCAACATTGGTATGTTTGAATCCACACAAAACTGGAGATGCTTCAATATTTATTTTTACAACATGGCCCTGTTGATTCTGCACAAGCTATTTTGCCCTGTGATCTGCATTATGTAAAATGTGCTCTCTATTCTTAACCCCATCCTAATAGGGCTCCAATTAAACTAATTTAGTCTCCGTGGCATCTAAACTTTTAATAAGTGCCTAAAATACTCTGTAGGTCGTAAAATTGGCGATAATTTTTAAGCTGACTTGGCGATATTAAATTAAGAACTAAATATATGCATTTTCACCGATATGGATTTTTTGCCAAGGTAGTAAAAAGAAATTTTAAAGTGCAGAAAATTATTTTTTACTTTCTCTGTCACATTGCACACGACGGGCGCTAAACAAAATGTGGTCAAAATAGTTCACATGATCTTTCTGCATAGATTTGCTAATATGAATTCCTGTTGTAAACTATAGACAGCATCGGTTTCATTAGCGAGAAAGCATTTACATCATACGTAATCAGCATGATGAAGAATAATTTTCCTCTGAAATCTCTTTTTTTTCGGTGTCATTGTCAACTAGAATAAAGAAGAATTTTCCCTTTGCCATTCTGAGAGGCGAATAATTTTAAAAACATAGACATGTAAATCATATATCAAGCTAATACTGAATTGAGGCATTACGGAGGTTCAAATAAAAGCTCCTCAACAATGCAACAAATTAGCAGAGATTCTTGATATAATCATTAATGAGATTTTAGAGTGAAAGCTGGACCACAATCACAATCAACCTTAATTTCAAGAGCCTAGCCATCTTCCATATTCGCTAGATCTCAGTCATTGTGAAATATTTTTATGCCAAAAAAGCAAGAAAATAATCAAAGGAAGATTCTACCATCTCAGATATGTCATGCTAAGTGCTATTCATCAGTATTTTAGGCACCCCTGAAGATGAGTCTCCTGATGTTCTCTGACTAAAGACATGTATAAAGGTTAACAATGAATGCTTTGAGGGATTGAAAATATTAAGAAACTAATGTTTTTTTTTTTTTTTTTTTTTTTTTTTTTTTTTTTTTTTTAATTTTTAGGTGTCCATTTGCACTACTTATTGAACGACTCTCGTATTTATTTACACTTAAAAGACATCTAGATCTCTTTATGAACAAACTTATTTGACCAGTAAACCAGAGCGTGCTATCATACACAGGCAATCCATTATAAAATAAGCACATCTACTGAAATTTCGAAACTCTCAGCTAAATTGTTAGATATAACACAATTAATTGATTTTTCGTAGAAAATAGAATCCTTCTACAAATGAGACTTTAATTAAAAATTTTTCATGAAAAGAACTTACAATTTATTTCCCAATAGAATGTAATTTCGACATTAGGAACCATTAATTTTCGTATTAATATAATTGACAGTAATAATATAAAGTGCAAAGTGAAAATTTTGCCACTATAGATTTACTAATAATTAACTGACTACCATGACAGGGACTTGTAAACAAAACCGAATACTTATGGATTTTTTGTGCTAGCTACATTTCATTAGATATAGCTCATAGGTTTTGAAAAATAAGAAAATATATCCATAGGAATGCCCTACCCAAGGCACTTTTATATTTCAACATAAAAAGAAATGTACAATCCTTCTTTGGTCAGAGATAATTTTTAAAAAGGATGAAAGTGGGATTTTTTCAATATAGAACTAAGTAACTGCAATTTAAAGAAAAGTGGGTCAAGGACATCGGAAAGACAAATATGTAACTTTGCATATTTTAATTAAAACATCTTCAAAAAAGAAGTTAAGGTCGTAGGGAAGGCGAATATCTGATTATTATGATAAAATTTCACCAAATTGTAAATGTGTGTGAAGTTTTAGGAAAATCTTATGAACAGTTTCCTCTATAATGTGCTAAATGCAAATGATAGTAAGGTCAAGGACAAATGAAAGGTCAAACAGGTTGAAAAGCTCTTATCAATTCGTATATATCATGTTTAAAGAAAAATCAGAAACCGTTACTTAAAAATAAATGCAAAGAGGAGATAGTGGGGTCAAGGTCAGAAAATTACGAAACACTTGAAAAGTTCCCACTAATATGTATCAGTGTAAGAGTTTTGATAAAAATAATATCAATAATTGCTATAAAACTGAGCTAAAAACACAAGAGGGAATTAGTGCGGTCAAGGTCACAGGGAAGGTCAAGGTCAGAAATTAATAATACAGTTGAATGATTACATTAATTTGGATCTTTGTATGAAGTTTGATTACAACATCAACTAGAACTGTCCATAATGGACAAATACCCTTCCGCAGGGTTTTTCAGAAAAAAGGTACCAAGTATTTTATGGATCTAGAGTGTATTCACAAAGTTAAACATTGACAGTTAAAATCCAATTGCTCATTATATCTTTAATGAGTGATGAACTAAGCCACAACCCAATAAAACATCAAAATACGTATGTACTATCATTACATTGTTTCTTTTTAGATTGTAAAAATCATCTGACATCTTTTTGAGACATGATGCTTTGCAATTTGTTAGTCGAGGCATAAAAATAGAATAAAAATATTTATTCAACATCAAATTTGTTTTGACAACCTCACTCCAAATTAATTTTGAAAACAGAAGATTGCCCATCAAGAACTGTGTATTTTAATTTGACAGATGCTATCAATTGGAATTAAGAGGTTTAAGAAATTTCTTACACTTAATTTTTAGAGTGTTTATGAATCCCTCTCCAGATCTTTAATTCTTCTGGACAATTCCCGATAGATATAGGTAACATCTGCCTGATCAGAGTTGCTTTAACAGAAATAGTTAAGAGGTTTCTTACATTACAAGACAAGGAATTCGTCATTCCACTAAAACTGAAAGTATCCGAGCAAAGAAACCTTTTCCTCTTTTTCACTAAGATCATGGAAACGCTTGACGTCTGCGCAGTCGTAAGTAAGGATCTTAGTCCCGCAGTAAAATCTTTCTCAGTGACGTCACTTTCTCTGCAGTAACATTCTAACTCCCTAAGCATCCATTCATCATCAAAGAATATCATTCCAGATAGGGAGGATACTGATGGCCAGCATCTTTAGTTTGTTGTTGAGAATTTTTTTTTATAGTAGCTTATTTTCTTCAACTTGCAAACCTAATTAATCAATAGCATTTATATTACATCATTCCATTATGGTGAATAAATAAAAAGATAAAGGAAACATTGATTGGAAATGGTGAAAAACACATAATAGACTTTGCATTCATTAGGATGAGGCATATGCTCTGATGATTTTTAATTTGTCAGTAAATACACAGGTATGAATTTAATGGGATCTATGAAAACAATTGCCATTTCTGCCGTACGAATATCAAGAATACACAATGTCTTTTTTCTAACATTGCAAACTCACAACGCTGCACCAGAAACAATATTTGATGCTTGCTAAGAAAAAAAGAGTATAATATCGTGCATTTATAAGTAGCATACATTTCATGGATCGGAATTACATTGAAATGGTATTTTGCACGGGAAGAGACCAGATCTCCTTTTTAATTTCATAGCCAATTACATGTACTCAAATAAAGTAAGGAAAATATTTTTCATATTTTGTCTAGTTTTTAGAATAAATAAACCATGAGTCGCTTTAGCTTCGGATACATTGGATACATTTAACGAAATTTAGTGCTAGAACAAAATGATAATATCAAGAGTCGTTGTTTCAGTCAATTGGCTAGTATGAGTTGTTTTTTTCCATATGTTGATAGAAATTAAATTACAAACTTTGAAAGGTTTACCGTAGTTAACTTAATATTTCAACTACATTTGTGAAAATAAAGACTTAAATTATGAAATATAGGAGTTCTTTGTAAGGTAGACTTACTACATGCATTTTCTAGTTATCTAAATGAGATATCAATTAAAGGTTTTATTGCTCCCCATCCCCCAGAAGACTGTTACCTTTCCATAATATGACATTCCCTTAATGACTTGACAGAGAAAGCTTGGAATGTTAATACAACTAAAGGTTGTTTCCGTGCTAAACGGGTTAAATAAATAAAAATTAATTATATATTACTAACGGCAAATCAATTACCACAAAGTTCAAATCAATTAAGCGAATATTAGACATGGAAATCTGATAATTCGTTAATGAGGGCAGAAGTGGATAGTGTAAAATCAAGGAAACTAACACTCTTTATACACAATACATTAATTATACAACAGAGAACCTGTTAACAATATAATAGTGCTATTAACTGGTCACGATACCTAGTGGTAGGGCGTTCGCTTCGCGATCGGTAGGCTTAGGGTTAGATTCTCGTTCGCCGCGCCGAGACATTGGCATTGGCATGATAAAGAACCCTTTTTGCTTATGGCCCCGAATGCTGAGTGCAGGTCTAAATTTGAAGCCCTTCACCGGTATATGGTGATGTCTCTATATGAGTGAAAAATTTTCGATTTGGAGGTAAACCAATATACATTTGTAAACTGTCAAATG